GTGAAGAGATGGATTTCTGGACATGGAGGTGGTATCTGGACCTCAATATTTTTTTGTTCCAGTCAAGCTACTACTTGAGATCTACAAAGCATTCTTGAGCCAAGGTACTGTTTGATCCAAAGGATTGGTATGCATGAGCCACTGGTTGCAAAGTGACCACTGAAGGGATCACATATGGGCCTGATCCAATGGCACGAGGAATTCTAGGGAAGCCCAAATCCCCAAAACAGACAGAACCATCCACACAGTGGGAGAAGGTGATGTAAGCAAATGCTTGATAATCCCTTTCATAGTGTGAAGTCTGAGAAGAGATGGTTGAGCTTGACTCAAATGAGTGTTGAAAAACACCCCAAGATGGACTATGTATTGAGTTGGTGAGAGAGTGGATTTTTCTAACCTGATAATGAAACCTGCCCTTCTGGCTGTGGAAATTAGATCTGTGGATGTAGTTCAGCAACATGAAATGGTGGCACCAAAAGAAGTCCATTTTCCAAATAGTGATGTGTGCACAGACCCAGAAAATGGAGATTCTGCTCAAAGGCCGTACTACTCAGCCAAAAACATATGGTGCTGAATCAAGTCCAAATGGGAGAGCACGGAACTGCAACACCTGGTCCTTGTGCACAAAATGTAGAAATTGATGAGAAGACTCTGCTATGGGGATGTGAAGGTAGGTGTCTGTAACATCAAACTTGGTCATCCAAAGACCTGGTGTGAAGTTGAAGAATACCCTCCAACTTGGCATCTCAATTCAATAAGTCCCAGCCACAGACCAATCACGACACCAAGGCAAGGCCAGAAGAGGGCAAACGAGTCATAGAGGTAACTAGTAAGGGTCCCTTTTCATCGTCAAATTGGTGAGGACAGCAAGAGTGGGAGAAAATCCCACAATCTAAAATTGAGGAGATGATTCTCACGATGCCCCAAAGGATCAACGAACTCCACGAAGCAAAAGGAAGATCCACTAGATATTAATTAAATTATAAATATATCAATTCATGTGAATATGACTGAAAAATTTAATTTTTCTGAAAAGGTGGTGTCTATTTACTTGTGACCACGCTGTGTATATATATATATATATATAACGTGTGTGTATGAATATGGTTAAAAAGTTGTTACAAAATTACACACGTTGTGTAGAGATAAAAAAATACTGATTAAGGTTTTTTATTGGATTGTAATATCGTGTACATTTTTATGTATCTATAAAATTTAAACATGGCTAAGGGCTCCTTTAACTAAAACGAATTCAGCAGATGGTTTAATACAATTCAGTCACAATGTGTGTATTAAAGAAAGACCGCTGAAGATGCAAGTCTATCGTCCCAGTAATGAACGCATTTATATTCGTACAATCAACATATCACAAATATAAGGTTATCAGGTTCATTTATGCTACGATTTGATAAAAAAAAATAGTCCCCCACTATTCTAAAACCGTAGTTTAATGTGTGCTATGCTCGTATTCTGTTTTATTAGGAGCAGGTATTTTCCACACTAGGGTTAAAAAAGCCAAATTCTTCAAAGTAGGAATTGAACCCAGATTTTAGCGTTGTAAGTTTGTATAGTTAACGCTGTCCCACCGGGGGACGACTTAACCCGTGCCCCAATGTGTCAGCGGTAAGTGTACGAACTTACAATGCTAATCCGGGGATCGACTCCCTACGAGGGGCAGAGTGCAGATATCTTATTGTGTAGCTTTGCGCTAAAACATACATTTATCTGTGCTAAAATTGTCTCCATCTTGTGTTGGCAAAGAGAAATATATGTTATGTATCAACAAGGTACAACTAGTCGCATGTGTTTGAACTCTCATGAACAATGAAAATACATTTAAGTGAAATTAACCACCGATCATATAGAGAGGTTGTATATTGAAATAGGTTTGGAAAGCTTTAACACATAGCAGCCTGAACTTAAGTAGTAAATATTACTGTGATTTTTTTTTATATAAGTATTCTACTATTGCTAGAGCTAGTAGCGACTTAAGATGAAGGTTTATGTATTCTGATTAGTGGTAATTTGTTGTCGCTCATCACTGCCAGGAATTGCGGTGTCCATTAACTCGCAACAAGAACGAACACAGTTTAAATGAACTAGCCTATTGTATCGATTTCCATTATTCACTGGGCAAAATTGGATTGTATAACACTCGTCGACTCCAAGCTTCAGTTCTCAACGAACAGCGTGTCGCCCGTGCACAGATACATTTGTTCGCTGCTCACAGTTTACACCGGTAACCTAGCAACTGGAGAACAAACATTATTAAGATTAATAGGACCGCAGTGCGAACGGCTCGACATCCCCCATTGTGTTACCGCAGGGATTCAACGAAGGCGACTTAAGTGAACGCTACTTGGCCACTGAGACTTGCAAAAAAGGTGACACGTGCCATTACCAGTTCATGCTCGAGCTTAACTGCTTGATCTGTAATATGATTTTTTCAGTGCTAAGATTCCACTAAAGAAAGCATTCTTCCACGAAAAACTTGTTCCGATTGCAGCGACATCTACTTGATTACAGAAAGAAAACAAATATTTTGTTCCTGTCAGAGATTTCGTGCTGTTGAATCGAAGGTTCAAAATCAATTTTTTTTCCGCTAAGTTATGAGTCTTTCTGTAAAATATAATGTTGATTTGATTTGATTTTTTTAAAAGCACAAAGCGTAAACATGTACGTATTGTAATTAAAAATAATTTTGCATGCATGCTTGCTTTTGTATCATTTACGCATTAAATTCTTAAACAAGCGTGGAGAGATACTCGGAAAGCAAAAAAAAAATGAAACATTATGAGTTATTTTAATGTTTATAAAAATAGTTACCAAATTTCTTTGTAAATTAAAAGTTTACCCAATTACATTCTTAATAGCACTAATTTTTGCCCCGAAAAGCATATCAGCAAAATTTCCAATCTGCTAGGGTTAGCTGTTACAGCAGAAACTTTGGTAAACGTAACAAAGTAACAAAAGATAAATTTTTTTTATTTAATTTAAGAAAACCAGTTTATTCAACATTAGGAAACAAATATTACAATTACACAGCGTGGTCACAAGTAAATAGACACCACCTTTTCAGAAAAAAAATGAAATGTTTCAGTCATATTCCCAAAATTGATATATTTATAATTTAATTAATATCTAGTAGATCATCCTTTCGCTTCGTGGAGTTCGTTGATC